AATTTCCTCACCAAACATAGTACCTCTGCTTTAGTCCTAGAAAGATGCGAAAAAATTGTCGTGTGGAAAGATGCAAAAAGAAAGTATTAGAAGACAGAAAAATTAGATGTAACCGGTGCCTGAGCATTTTTCCTTCACTGCCAAGTACAAGAAAATAATGAGCAATCCTGTAATTGAAGAGATAGGGACCTCTAGAACTTCTGTTATAAGATAAAAGAGAATGAATAGCTCCAGACTTTCCAGACTAGCAGCGTCAGAGTTCACGACTTTCTGACATTTTCAGTTTTCCACATGCAACCAATCATAACTAACAACTATATTTAAGAAAAATAAAAAATTCCAACCACAGGAATGCAAAACTGTAGCAAGGGATAGCTTTCCCAACATTCTGCAACTTTGAAGGACAGATTTACCTGTCTGTGATCTTTAGGAGAACTGGAGAGGGACTTTTTTTATTAGGATAGTAAAAAATTAAGGGGAGAGGAGATACCCCCTCTCAATTGTTTGACTGCAACCAAAAAACTCCATCAATCCGCATGACATTATTATTATCATTTCTACAGGCAGTAGTGATTCTCATTCCAATAGGAAGACCAAGCCTTTCCAACATGTACAAATTAGGGATTGATTTCCTGGTCAGCATCACTCAGAAAAAGCAGCAGTCCAGTTCTTAAGTGTATTTTATTAGGAAAGTTTCATGTCTTTATCTTTCTATGTGAAACACAAGGAAATTCCAAAACCATAGAATACTCTTGGTTGAAAGGCACCCACAAGGATCATCAAAGTCCAACTCCTGGCCCTGCACAGGACAACCCAAGAGTCCCACCATGTGCCCAAGTGTTCGAACACTTCTCAAACTCTGTCAGGCTTGGTGCTGTGACCACTGCCCTGGGGACCCTGTTCCAGTTCCTGACCATCCTCTGGGTGAAGAAACTTTTTCTAGTATCAGCAAGAGACAGAAGTGAACCTCAAGAAGTGGAATGCTAAGGGGAGGAGAAAGCTACTATATAGTTTAGATTCTAACATGATTAGATGCAAAGATGACAGCTCAGGTGAAGGAAGGGTACTTGTTCACCCCAAAAAAGTCACAAGACAGGAAAAAGAGGAATCAGAGCTATCACGGGGCAATACTATGTTACAGAGAAAACTTGTATAGGCAAGTAGAAACATTTAAAAGACAACACTAAGGCACAAATTAATTCTGTCATCAGCACCACATAATGTCCAATGTATACTCACCATCCCAAATGATCTGTGAAAAAGTCATGCATAGTTAACTTCTTTCTGTGGAAATTTTAGGCTATATGAACTTCTTCTCCCTAACCCCAGTCTCACCAAGATTAAGAAAACTAATTTGTACCCTTCTACAAATAATTCCAAAAATTAAGCATGATATAGAATGAATCTATTTCATCTGTTCAAACAAAAAAAAAATTAAAAGCACTTCTAAAGCTTCAGGTGAGATACCCTATGGCCTTACTTTGAGATAAAAAAAAAGAAGCCACAAGGTAGTGAGCAACAATAGAGTCATTTCAGTGAAATTAATTGCTCGATATTTAAGATCTCGTCAGCATTCAATTTTTGTTCATTATGGTTTCCACTCTTCATGGAAGGTTCATTAGAAATGAATGTTTGCCTCAGCTGCTTCACTGGAGACATCAGTGGCTCATTAAGTCTACTCACAATGGGTCATTGGGCAGAAGAACTGAGGCACAGAGACATATTTCCACTGCACAGGCTGTAGGTATGGAACTTTCTTAAGAGGGAAAGAACCATTTTGCTTCACCCCAACTGTTACATGGTGGGTTTGCACAATTGTTAACAGTGTGAGGTTAATTTGGATAGTTGGAATCTTCTGGAGGCTTCCAACAATGCAACGAGTGAGATTTGAGGTGAAGATGTTTGCAGCCTAAAAGACTCAAGCCAGGATTTATGTTAACTTTGTGTTAAGATACAAGATTTTAAACTTCAGTAAATACTTTTCTGACAAGATTTTAACCCACTCGTTGATGACAATCAACAACCTGAATTAAAGCTTTACAGCCTTCTAGACCATATGGTAACAACTGGACAATATTTACTTCATGCTTTAAAGTGCAACAGCAATATTAGGAAGGGTAGAATAATAATTTTTTAAAAACCCATCCAAGTTTTTTTAGTATCTTGGAGGATTATGAATTAATCATACTTGCAGACAAATATTGAACCAGAAGATTTTTGTAGTGCATATGTGTTGTGTTGCAAGATTTTTTTCTGTTTGACTGATTGCATATTTATATTTCTGTTCCACACAGACTTGTTTGCAAACTCATAATTCAATTCTACAATGATCATACCAATAATCTATCAAATATGTAATTTCAATGAAGAAAAGGATAGAGATATTTGTAAAATTATTTTAAAAAACTTAATGAAGACACATCAAATGCTGATGAAAAGGAGTTTAGGAAGTATTTTATTCAGATTGATTCTCAACAATTTTCAAGAATTGCAAGACTATAATTTAAAAAGGAGACCCATTAACAAAAGGATTTCCAGCCTATAGTGTCATGCTAGATACCAACAGGTTTATGTAGGGTGTTAATTTTTCTGAAAGCTAAATTAAAATAATAATAATAAAAAAATCTAAGCAGCAGTTGCATTTCCTCTGACAGTTTCTAATTACAAGAGGGAAAACAGTTTCAGTTTTACAGATATTCTTTGCCAAGCCAGCTGCAGTCCAGTGGATGATGTGGTTTTCTGGCATGATGGTTGTGAACACAGTGCATCTCAAAACTAGAAAAGAACAGCATACATACATATCTTCAGCAATGAGGTACGCTTCAAGCATGGATTCTATGAGACTTCTTGCACAGTGTTTCTGTACTGTTCCCCTCATGCTCCAAGCCAGACACCTGCATTTGCTTTTTGCACCTAAGCCTTCTTTCCACCATTAAATCCCAGAGTGCCACAGACATTTATTTAAAATGATGGAGATGACATAGGTGTGCTTCAAATAACTTGAGATCCCAGGATGTTACTCTTGGTGCTTATCTACCATTCACTGTATAACATGAGCAATTTCCTACTTGCCTAAAAGTAGTAATAAAAAATATGTTCTGAATTTACATGAAGCCGCATAGTCTCTTAATCAAATGTCACCAAACCTACCAATCTTCTGGGAAAAAAAAAAGCGAACAACAGTGAAGTGGGGTTTTTTTCCCTTAATTCTATGAAGACAAAAAAAAAAATCAAAACTCTCCACCTCCTTAGGCCTCTATGTCTTCTTCTAGAAGAAGGTCCTAAAAATAGCCATTATGTTAATTTGTTGAGCAAACAGAAATTTAGTGACAATTTTATATAAAAAATTGGGCAAATTCAGTTCCTGGATCTTTACTATCCTGCCTGCTAAGATGACAAGCTACAGTCAACCACCTCAGGTTTCACTATCACAGCACATTTCCAGCGTTCCAAAAAGCAACACAATACAAGAGTCTGAACACCAGCTGCAAGTGTCCCTGGAACAACAGGAAACAGCTTGAGCTGAGAGGAGCATGTGCCTTTTGCCCTAGAAGGGTACTGATTTTAAAATACACTTTTTAAAAATTAAGAAATAGACCATAGCATTTCAGTAGGTAGTCCCAAATAGCTAATATGAAACCTGTCATAAAGAGAATGATTTCTAGGGACCCAAGGTCACAAATCAACCCATTAGGTTCATCTCTACAGGAGACAATCCTATCAGGAATGGTAGCATCCCTAAGGGGTGATAGCAAAGTAGTTGACATTAGGATATGGTCCAAAGCATGCAGTATAAGCTACAGCAGCAGATGCCAAAATATGGTTTTTGTCCTGGAAGTCCTCCACTTGATGTGGGAGAAGTGTGGGGGATAAATTCACTAGCTAGAGAAAGTCCAAAGCCAGAATTGCCTTGCAAGGTTTGAGTGAAAATAGTAATGGGATTAATCATAGAGAAATGTTTTTTAAAACTGTCCCTAACCACGGGATTCATAGGCATCCTTCACGGTGCCATCCTCTAACCACCCCTATTACATCAAGCATTTTCCCCAAACCATAAAACAAAGTTTTCCTTTGTTAACTGTAATGGAGCTTGCATGCTTCCACCTTGTCTAATTCACTGTCCTATTCATTTGTGACTCAAAGTCAGTAACATTTCAAGTATGAGTATTTAAAATATGTACCTATTCAAAGTAACTACAAATCAAAACTGGAAGGAAAACATAAAATGATGCTGTCCCCTAAACCAATACAATCTAAGACAAGTTGATGAATGCACATAGAAAATATAGTCATAAAGTTACTTTCCTGAATGTCTGGCAAGATGCTTCATGTTTTATACTTACAGATTTTTCAGGATATTAAAATATGTTTTGCCACAAATAAAGTAATTTTTAAAAGGATTGTGATAACAGGATCTAACAATGGCCTGCTTCACACTATTTGTTCCACAGCACGAGCTTAGATTGCTTGTAAAAATCTTCTCTCAAAAAAATCTTAAGTTCAGTGTTGATGTACCTTAACCCCAATCCAAGAGCTACAGAAATACAAGCCAATATGAATCTGTTTAAAAACAAAACTGAAGGAATTTCAGTTAAGTCCCTACTGTCTTCTTTGTAAAAATATGTTTTCTAATCATCCCTCATAACCCTTAACTGTTTTTTTCACATGGTTTAAGAGTTTCTTCTTTTCACTCAGAAAACAGCATTTAAAAAGTTTTTTTTTCTTAACTTAACAATTTATTCCAGTTGTATTTCTAGTGACGTCAGACTCTTGATGTGAGACTCTTGGATGTTTTAGAAGACATCCATCACTTCTCATATTCCTTGAAAAGTATAAAACAAATTTTTATTTGGATATAAATGGCAGTTAACTGGTTAATAATAATACATCTCTGATCTTTTAAAAGTATAAAATATTTGATCTGTGACATGCAACAGGGGCTGTGATAAATGTAAATGTTTTTGTGACAACAAGCAATGAAATGAGCACTCAACAGTTCACTATTGTAAATACATACCACTACTGTTTGAACGCATTTTTTGCTTTAAGATGAATTTGAGCTCTTTCACTTTGTCATCCCCATGCAAAGCAACAAAGATCTACGTATCCAATTTCATGGAATGACTGAGAAACACATCACAATGCATAAAGGGTTTATTTTATCCTCGCAATCCAGTATCATCAACTTAGATTTCTAGACCAGGGAAGCCACCTGCTGACATTCATAAGTATTAATTGACAGCATTTATCCTTAACAACTCTGTCTCAAAACTAAGAGTCAATTTCATAAAATTTTCTGTATGCAATGCCTTTGAACACACCAAAAGTCCCAGTTTTGGGGTGATGGTGGTGATGTTATTTTAAATCCAAAAATCTTTTTTCTGAATCCATTAAAGATTCTTGAAAATCTTACTTATCTTTCCCAAACACGCATGCAGCTGCCATTATAAACTGTTCTGTCTTCATGGCTTTTGTTTGTTGACAGTACAATTTTACATATATTTGGTTAGATATCTTCCATGTTAACAGTACAAGCATGCCTATATAAAGAGTATAGATAAAGAAACTATTAGTACTTGAATTTAAAACAATATGATCTGTCTGAAGAGTCACATAGTCACCTTTGTGGAAATGTTCGTACGTCTAGGAAATGGCATTTCTTTTGCAGTTGTATTTTTGGCATAGAATTTCTTTAAGATTTAAATAAATGTTAGGAAATTCTTCATAATACTATGATTCAATAAAATATTTTTAAAAACACTTGCACCATTTCTCTCTCACTTTCTTCTTTAGGCAAAGGAAACTAACTACCATTTTCTAACTTAACTTTTACATTGCCAAAAGTTAGCAAAAAGTTGCAATGTTTAAGCCACTGGAAAAAAGTATTAAATAAAAATGGTGTATAATGTTTGGTTGTTTTTATAAGGCTTCAAGAACATATTTTGATTGGTACGAGAGAGGTTTAGCAACATAATTATTTACAAAAATTTACACAGTCTGATTTTGTTTAAAACAAAAATATTCTCTTTAAACTTTTCAGTGCAACAGTCTCATTGTCAGACATAGCACCTGGTTAATCACAAAGAACGTTTTTATGAAGTTTTTCTTTTTCACTTTTCAGTCAAATCCCTGTCCTTCCCCAAAATTGTCACCATATGAATCTGCATAGTCAAGCATGAAAACCTTTAAAATAAGTTTTCCAAAGCATTCATGACATGAATGAAATTATGCACTGCTATTTTATTGATATTTGAGTGAAATGGTATTATTACCAAGCTGAAATGGGTGGATAAAAGAAGCCATTTCAAAACACTGATTAGGAATTTTCTCTAGCACCTACTTAGCTTTGCTACTGTTAACCACCTCACAGAGGATGCTTTGCAAGCAGACACCATGTAGAACCATTTTAAGATACCTCTGACTGCAAGGTCATATCTGAAAAAGGGAACAATTAAAAAAAACATACTGTTTTTTGTTTCTCTTCTGTATATAATCGTTATGTTAGAAACTTAAGAGAAATGAGTCAAAAATAGCACTGATGTATAATGTTCTTATTGAGTAATTTCACTGGAGAAGGAATCAGTACCAACAAACCTGACAGATCTCCAAGCACCCTTTGTGGATTTACATACAGCACCTTTAGTCAGATTTCTGTGCCAGGAAATAAAACTATTCTGGAGAGATACTTTAGCCTAAAGAGTACACTATCTTAAATGCAGAAGTATTTAAGACATGAATAGGACATGCTTCTAGAGTGATTCATACATTCTAGTTATTAATTTTACACACAATATATTTAAGAAAATAAAGGGAATAAATATTTAAAAAAAAAGTAAAAAGCAATAAGATGCAGACAAGTCAAATAATCATTTTAATCCAGAGATCACTGGTCCACTGGTCCACATCCCATCTTCAGGATGTTTAAAATGTTGAACAACTTAGTAATTGCACCTGCACAAAACCTTTACATAAAAAAGTTTCAAAATCTGTGATCAGTCTCTTTGAAACTCCACCAGTATCTACCAATGAGACACATAACTTATTTCAAATAGTTAACAGCAGATATCCTTTAGTGCTTTAGGACTTTCCACTCTCAAAAGAACTCAGCACTCATTTCAATTGTGACTTGCTACTTACTGATTAAAAAAACTAATATTATTTATCTTTATTTTTATTTATTTTCCTGATCAGTTTTATATTTACTTAGAAGACTTTTACAAAGGAAAAACACTTAAAAAAGATTCAGTGCTGACTCAATCCTTTCTCCCTTTTTTACAGTCAACTTGAGCTCAAATACTAAATTAAGAAATTTACTTTTACCAGAACCTGAAAGAAAATCTTGCATAAATCTTTATTCTGCAGAAACATGGCAATGATCCAGTATAAAACAAATTTTAAAAACTACTGCATTTAGTAACTCCTCCAAAGGCGGCAGGCACCTTTTCAGGTAACTTCAGTGGCTTTTCAGCTTTTTTCAGTTTGAGCCAGCTTACCAACCTGCTTTATGATGTCAGCTTGGCATGCATTCAGCCACCACAAGTTACCAGAAAGCTCAGTTTTATGGCTATACACCAAGACAATTAGCATAATATTTCAAGAAAAGTGAGATTCAGGAAAGTTTTAAAACTGATACAGCAAAAAGAATTTATTTTAACTTTTGTACATACAAAGGCACTCAATGATCCTCTATGAAAGACCTTAACAAAGCAAATGTCCAGTTAAACTGACCTTTTGGAGTCTTCTGGATTTTCTTAAGCCCCCAGTGGGCTTGTTCTTTTGTTAGTTAAAAATTTTGCAAGAGCCATCAGTAACATGACACTCTGAAACTTCATTTTCACCATCTAGAAACCAAATTTAGAAACTTAAAATGAAAAATGCAATCTTATGAAATGAAACTGCAACCTATTATTTTATCATAGCACAGCACTATGCACCCTTAAGATACTTCTCAATAATTTGTACAAGTTATTTTTCCACTGTATTTCAATTAGGGAAAAGGAATGACACTCAAGCATCTAACTTCATCTTTGAGTATCTGTTCTTATAAATAAATCAGTTGTAAAACTCCCAATTTCCTATATTTTGAAAATCATAAATTAACTGCAAGTAGAGAATCTACTAAATTGCTTTCTATTTATTATAAAATGTGCGATTTCTCAACATAGAGATATTTGGGTATGAAGTTTCAGGCTAGATTTTCTTTTTCTTATTGACACATCAACACTTTTGGTACACACTTTGTTTATCTAAAATGACATAAAGGTCTGCAACTTGTTTTCAAACACTTTGCATAGCAAACTGTGAGCAGGCAAGGATTCTGTGCATATAAAGGTATATCAGATCTATTATATATGAAAAGACACAACCCATAAGAATGCACTCTGTCAAAAAGCAGTATTTTTCATTATGTATTTTATGAATTAATACATATTTAATTCTTCAAGTCTGTCAGGATGACTTTCCTAAGAACTAAATAATAAACTTCTGAATCATTTGAGAAATGAGCTTGCCTGCCTAAGATGAAAAATTTCGATCTTTTAAACAATTAAGCTTTAATTACTCTAAATTTAGGGAGAGAATTTTTCCCAAATGTCATTCAATAAAGTCTATTTTAGAGTATTTATTCATTTTTCATTTCAAAGAAATGGATGAGATCAGTTAAAGAAAGTTTATTAGTGATTAAAGAGGCCTAAATTTAGCTCCTGATAACGAAGTTTCTTTGATTAGTTTCAGAAAGTACTGAAGGATACTATCCCTATTTAGTATGCATATATCACTAAGAAAAATTTGTTTTTCTTCTGTCAGCTACTTAAACTCTTAATCCTTGAGGTGACAGAACATCAAATTACCATCCATTATGATTACTCATGTTAAAATTATAATATTTAAACTAGTCAAAATTTATTGCAGTAACTTTTGTAAATAATTGTAAACCTAGTTTTCAGGTACAATTGTTGATTTAAATTCAATATTTAGGTATACAATGTCATGTAATAAAGAGATAACTAATAGCTATGTTAATTTTATTGTGTATTGCACTGAGGTTCATAATTTTCAATCATTGAGGAAGACTGATGGCAAGTAGATTTATCTTGCCACACAATAAAGAAAATTTTTAAAGATGTATTTCAAATCCTAAAAAATCCTAATTATGTGACAGCATAGGATGTAAGGTGATTGTGTACTCCACTGCTTTACCCAAGTTATTTAATGTTAATGAAATGTTAATTTCCATTAGGTTATTTCAGCTTTTGTTTTTTTTTTTTTTGAGGGGTAGCTTGGGTTGGGGGTTAACAGTGAAAAGTGGTGTAATATTCTTTTTTACTATTCTTGGCCTGAATGCTCATGCTCCACAGCACTTGTCCCACTTGGGCTTAAAATCTTAAAACCTGTATTCTTGGACTTCTTTCCAGTTAGGGTTCACTCCTGTGGGTTTTTCCTATTTACAGGAAAGCAGGAAGAGAGGATAATGTCCCTTATCTCTGATTATCAACTCACAGATCTGAGGCACTACATTAAAAACAGCTATTCCTTGCTATTTTGTTCCTGTCTATCAGCACTTCGCAATCACTTTTCCATCCGATAGGTCTCAAGCTTCACTATTTTCTGTTTTTTCCTGATTACTTCTTTTTAAAGCAGTCACTCAGGCACAAATAATGAGTTTTCATCTTTAGTAGCTTTTCCTAGAGGACTTTAAAGTTGACAGGACTTTTTGAAGCAATTGCATCCAGTGTTAGTTCTCACTAAACCAAGTTCAAACATGCAGGTAATTCCTGCCACTGTGGTCCATTATATCCCCTAAATGCTCTTCCAAAACACTGCTCAGTGATTGGCACCAAAATCAACAACGGAGCCCTCTGAAACATTGTCACAAATTAGAGTGATTTTACTTTGCATTTTAAGCTTCTACTCCTTCAGGATAATTTTAGCACCAATGAGAAGTTTTGAATCAGAATATTATCTTCAAAATTTCCTTTGATATTTCCATTGAATTGAAAAGCAATGATTAAGCAAAATGAGCTAGTTCTGCTTGATCAAATAAACCATGTCTATCTAATAAATCTTTTTTTCTGTAGTATAGTTCTCTATTTTAAAAATATTGTTATGAAGAGTCACTTAAATTAAGCTATGTTGTATCTACTATTTTGCACTTATCCATAGAGGTATTTACCCCAGCTATGAAGGAATTAAGTCTGAATTTGTCATCATTAGTAATCCTTAAGGTACACATGCAGAGAATATTTAATACCTTGTGTTGTTATTATTATTGTAGATATTACTGAAGCATGGGCAAACACCAAGTTTTTATTATACAGAACATAATTTCTTCAAGTCTTCTGAAAACGTGTGTGCCTCCCCCCCAGATACTCAGAGAGAGCCTCCTAATGGTTTATAAAAAATTTATGTAGTTTGTTATGTGCTCTATGACAAATGCCATCAGGCTTTGGCAAATCTGACTACATCAAATAAATCCTCAACTCAGAAATACTTGTCCTCTTTTGTTTTAATAACTGGTGACAATTCAACTTTTTGTGAAGATAAATAAAACAAAGACTCAAGGAACAAACAGTTTTCTTCTTCATGCCTCATTTGTTTTTTTAAAAGGACATAATAAAATGCCAATAGGGGACACTATAAAATATTTTTAGTGAGCCTATCTTCTTCCAAAGCTGAAAAATACCAAAAGGCACAACAAATATAAGGAAGTTTTCACATGTGTGCTTTTAAAGACATAAGCAGTATTTTAGCAGCATTAAGCCCCATAGGACCTAGAACCTCAGGTAAAACTCATTAATCTAAATTAAACACAATGAGTACTTGCCCAAATAACAGAATGATATTCCAGATTTTCCAGCTTAACACTGAACTACATTGAGGACAGTACAATGGGTCTTTTTAAGTTAAGTCTTTTTGCCAGTTAAGACAGTATTTGCCTTCCACATTACCATAAATATATAAAATTCACTCAGATAAGCCTAAAGTTTATTTTTAAGAACAGAAGTAATGCTAAGTCCAAGTTCAAATTTCTAAATGATTTTAGCATGATAAAAGCTTAAGAGAGTATACTCTTGCATTCCTTGTCCGTTATTATTTATTGTTGTAGCTTCCAGATGAAGAGTCACATGACCTGGAGTAAGAAGAAAATAAGTAGCAAGCAGTATTTATTTCAGCAGAACAACTGGGCAGCCTTGAATGCACCCTACAAAGGAACCTGAAGCTTGCTACCACATAAGCATTAAGCCCCGAAAATTTGGTTTCAGATTAGTTCTACTTTAAAATGAAATGTTCCAAGTAGTCTATGGGAAGAAAGCTTAATGAATCTTCTTGTCATTAAAGATACTGCGTAAAAGTGCCACTGACATAAAATCACAAAAAAAAGGGCAAGAAAAATGTTTAATATTTAAAACATTTCCAGATATAACATTTTATATGGCTATTTGATTACTCCTAACCATATATATAATATGAATGAAGAGAATTCATTAGTTTTTAAAAATATACTGGATTTACGAGCTTTCAAATAATATACAATATACAGAAAAATCCCCCAATTTACTATTTATTTACTAATAGGGTCAAGAAACAACTTACATTTAATTAAAAAAAGGAAACACTTTATCCATAATTAAGAGAAATTAATTATTCCATCATAGGAGTAAGTGTAATACAGGATTTTCGTTTTCTTGCACAAAACTTGCATTATTAGGGAAAACACAACTTCTGTTACATTATTGATTCCTTCCATTTTTCAGTGAGCTCATTCAAGCTGTCAAACTTGGGGCCCTACTTGGCTGCACAAAAGATGCATGAAGCTGAATATACCATACTTGGGAAAATGGCCATCACTGATATAACATAAATACTATTAAAATCAGTACAAACACAAATTGAGATTTACAGACACTCCTAACAAAAAGGATAAAAAGTATGAACATTGGATAACTTACATTTGCTGAATCCTATTCCTTTTTTTTCCTCTAAAATCTATTATTTTAAACATATTGTCCAGCATGAAGTGTGACATACTAGAACAGTGATCCTAATTTAGTTGCTAGAATTTAAATTACATAATTAAATCTAAAAATAGCAGTAATAACTAAGTTTAAATATAGTAAATAAGCCTGATAGAGTTCAAAAAGCATTGGGACAATGCTCTCAGGCACATGGTGTGATTCTTGGGGCTTTCCTGGGCAGGACCAGGAGCTGGACCTTGGTGATCTGTGGGTTCCTTCCTTCCAGCTCAGAATACTCTTCGATTTTTTTCTCCTTCCCTATTTGTTTCCATGACTGTATAATGAAAACCAGATTCCATGACATTAGGAACTTTACCATTTAAGGATAATCTTCTAGTACATGGTCACATGGCAAAAAACCTTACACAGTGTGTTCATATACTACATACAATCATTGAATGGTTTGGGTTGGAAGGGACCTTAAAGATCATCTAGTTCAAACTGCATTGCAATAGACAGGATACCATTCACTAGACCAGGTTACTCAGAGCTCCATCCAACCTCACCTTGAACATTTCCAGGGATGAGGGGTCCACAACTTCTCTGGGCAACCTGTTCAAGTGCCTCAGCACATTCAGAGTAAATAATTTTTTCCCAATATCTAACCTAAACCTACTCATTTTCATTTTAAGACCATTCTCTGTTGTCCCATCACTATATACCTCCATAAAAAGTCTCTCTCCAGCTTTCTTGTAAGCCTCCTTTAGGTACTGGAAGGCTGCTCTTAGGTCTTTTCAGAGCCTTCTCTTCTCCAGGCTGAACATCCCCAACTTTCTCAGCCTATCTTCATAGGAGAGGTGCTCCAGGTCTTTTCATTATCTTTGTGGCCTGCTCTGGGCTTGCTCCAACAAGTCAATCTTCTCCTTGTGCTTAGGGCTCCAGAGCTAGAGGTCTCAAACCTGGATTTCTCCTACAGCAGGCAATTTTTTATGCCCCTGATCCTTGCTTTCACCTGCTGCAACATGGCTGGTGGGGCTGAAGCACTTGCTGGTTAAGCCTGGGGCAAAGAAACATGGTAAGTATGTCAGCCTTCTCCACATCCTGGGTGACTAGTTCTAGTTGGACCCATATTTTCCCTAGTCTGTCTTCTATTGCTGATGCATCTAAAATAGTTTTTTTTTTGTTTACCCTTCATATCTTTGGCTAGATTTACTTCTGACAGTGCTTTAGCCTTCCTAATCAGATCCGTGGTTGTTCAATTTCTCTGTGTTCCTCCCAGGATACCTTCCCCTGCTTCTGCTCTTTGAAAACTACTTGTTTAAGATTGTCCAGGAGCTCCATGTTCATCCATGCAGGCCTCCTGGCATTCTTCCATGATTTCCTCTTTGTAGAGGTGCGTTGTTGTTCAGTCTGAAGGAGACAATCCTTGAATATCAACCCTTGGGTACCTCTTCTCATGGTACTCTACCAAGCAAATCCCTGGTGAAGCCAGTCTGTTCTCCTGAAGTCCAGGGTAGTAAGCTTGTTGTATGCCCTCCTCGCTGCCCCAGGATCTTGAACTCCAACATTTCATGGTCACTGCAGCCAAGGCTGTTCTTGAGTTTCACATTCCTTGCCAGCACCTCCTTCTTGCAGAGAACAAGATCCAACATAGCACCTTACTTTATGGCTCATCTATCACTTGAAGCAGAAAGCTCATTTATGGGTGTACATTTATACCTGCATAACATACACCTGCATCCACTGTTTTAAAAACTGTGTAAGAAATTATGCACTCCAGATAGTAAAATACAGGTATAATGAACTCAAAATGGCAGCTCACAGTTCAGCAGCTTATTACCCACATGTATATGCACAGTCATGGTTCAACATTTCCACTTCTGTAAGTCTGACGGCAAGTTTGTTGAGCCCTTTAAGTTAATAATTATTTTTATATAACTAATTGATGCACTATTGCAGAATTTTCTAGGGAAGATAAATTCCTAAAATACACAATTACAGTTACAAATATTCAACCCCATGTAATGCTTGACAAAGCTCAAAATATGAAAATCTGACAATGATTCCAATGCAAGTCAGGAGCATCTTCCAGGGAAGCTCCTGAGATTCCATATTTTAGTATACATTTACATTAAAATACTTTATGCTAAACAACCTTAGAAATGCTTAAATATAAAAAAGTAAAAAATAATTTAAAATTAATATCAGTTCCATATAAAGAAGTCATAGTTGAAAAAGATTGCAACTCTTGCAGGTCTTATTTCATCTTCATCACTGAACAAGTTAGAAATTACTAATTCCAATAATTTTTTCACCAGAGATTTTTATGATCTTAACTGCAATTTTAGTAATAATTTTTACTTGTGAAATAAAAATAGTTTGAACAAGGGAACCTATGATGAGACTTCGGTTTCGTAAACAGATTTTGAATAGCAACAGAAAGTTAGGAGATTAGGAGAAAAGAAGGCTCAACATTACTTTTGTTGTGAATAATGAGCAGTTTCCTTATCTCCTATGACTTTGTGTTTGTAAGGTATGGGAAAACAAATAGGCGTTCTTTTGGATTCTATGCATTCATTTATTTTACTCAGTAAAAAAGCCAGCACCACAGTATTTTCTTCTTTTGGTGTATTTCTGAAGTATTTTTCTTGTGGAATGGCAGTTCATTTTGCAATTTAGTTGCATTAGTGTATCTAATGCAGTATGATATCTTTTGATTTTCCAGCTCTATGTAGTCACTTACCAGTAGTATGAGCACAGTCATTTACACTGCTGTAGGATTTTTCATGAGCATGCTGTGGCAGCCTGTTCACATCATCAGCATCTAGAGCTTCTCCAGTGCCACCTTTTTCACCACCTGATATATTTAATGGTATGCATCCTGGATGTTTAGCTGGTTTGGTTTTTTTCTTTACTGGAAAATTATTCACTGAAATAGATATCTTTCTACTTTTCTTAGTAGTGTTATGTGGCTCACAAAAACTCACATCATGTAGGTCAGTGCATCTAGAAGAGTCTTTGCAACAAACTTCAAGAGGATTCTGTGATTCCTTTGGTACTTGTATCTGTACTTCATTTTCATTTGAATTAGATGATGAAAAGAAGTCTTCATAAGAAGCCTCTTCAGTGCAGTAAGACTTGTTACGTGCAGTAACTGTTTGCAAGAACCCCTTAGAACCTGATGCACCCAGTTCTGAGATAGCCAGCTTCAAATTTCTTAATGTTCTTACTTTCTTCTTCTTCTTGTCTTCAAGAACACAGTCATTTCTGCCAACAGAGAAGCTTTTATCCAATGAACAAGCATTTAAGTCCTCACTATTCATAGGTGAATTAGACAGACTATCAATCAAAGCAGGAACAGTATTTAACTGGACTATTTTTTTGGAAAGAGTACAATCACCAAAGCCCTTGAGAAGAGAACTTTCATTTGCAATTGAAGTAGTCTTTCTCTTCTCGTTTTTCTGATTTTTCTTTGGAAACTTTAAATGTTTCTTTCCAAAAGACAATCTGTCATCCAAAGTGCGCTGTAAAATCTGTTTCTTTGTTAAACTTCTGGGATGTCGTTTTGGTGTTAAGCTCGTCTGCTCATTGCCACGTGATGGAGAATTCACTGATGCACTCATGGATACATGAATATCAGTCCAAGTATCACAGGCATGTTCTGCTACCTCGTTTCTCTGTGTCTTTAACATTGCAGCTCTCCGAAGAGAATCACAACTTGAGTTCAAGCAGTTTTCCATTTGTTCTTCTGCAAAACAAAAAAAAAGTGGTAATATAAATGTATTGAACAAAACAGAAAGAGGATCAATTTCTTAGTGAAACATATATGGAATTCCTGAATGGAAAAAAACCAAAGATTTAGCTAGTTTTCTGGATATTATATGGCAAGTCAATAAAACCTAAACAGAAAATGGATTAGAAACAAAGCACATTCTATGCTGACGAGAACCTACAACAGTTTTAGCTATTGCAATCCTTTACCTGGTCATAAGCACCCAGAAGTTCCATTCTGCTTTCTTGAAATAAAGCAGCAGAGGAACTCGTTATTCCTCTTGCATTTTTAGAGAAAGCAAGATTATATGCTGATAAAGTTAGCTTAGGTAACAGTGGAAACTCAGTAATTTTTGCTACCACAGCATTAGCACTACCTTGAAGATTCTGCAGTTAAGATGGAATTAAATACAACACCATACTATTATATCACATACATCAATAAAATGTATTAAAAATAAATTAGAACGTGGCTAAAGAATTATTTCTTGTAGCTATTCTTATGAAATTAATTTGTGTAAAGTGTTACACAGAATCTATACATAACTCTCCACAATAAATTCCTCTGAAATTAGCTAGTATTTTTGATTAATCAACATACATTTTTTAAAATCTTATTGTTCTACAGTAACATGATTGCAACAGATGCTTTTGTTTAAGTAGATTACGAATGCAACATCACAGCAATACTCCTGTAAGTTCTCCTGTAGGTTTTAGGGGAAGCCTTGATGTTATTTGCTAACCAAATATAGATAATATTTTTAAACATATGGTGTAGATAACTATATTAAGAAAAATAAAACAAACAGAGAGAAATTTCACATGATATGACCAGTCTCTCATACTGACAACTGACAAAATCAACTTCAATCCTCAAATTAATCTGGCTTCTTGATCTTTCTAAACTGTTATTAACCAATCTCATATATCTCTTAGGCACAAACACAGGGGCCTATGTCACAGAGCTGGAGATGAATGCTGTCATGGGAATTCGTGGTCTGCTCTTAATGTAAAATTACATGGTGCAGTTGCAAAGCTGAAGGGACATACGCAAGGTAAAGCTCTCAAATCAGAATGTTCTACCTCATCAGCACATAACCAGTCTACTAAAGTAAAACAGTTTGCTGGCACAGCTATGTACTTCCAGTATCCAACTATCACTTCTCACTAATATTGCACAAAGACATAACAAGCTGTCACAGGCTGCAAGACACCCACTGTGCTCTTAGGTAAGCCAGCATGACTCCTGTATGATGTCAATAAAATACAACACCTCAAAATAGGATGTGGTATAGCTTACTGTTGAGGGAGAACAGAGAGCAGGTGAACTGCTCTAGTGGCCCTCATTACAAATTCTAAAGACTCCCTTCTCCTCAATTTTCTACTGAGATCAAGGCCAGCATCTGACTTGAGCTTTTTGCCTCTGTGACTGACAGAGAACGAGGTCTGAAGCACAAAACTATTGCACACATAATCAGTACTATTAAGATGTTCCCTGATGTAGCTTAATAGACTTCACAATCTTCTCTCTTATGCCCTGTTAATACACCAAAACACAGAAACAAACCCCTAATTTTACAAGAATAATTTTATGAAGTTCTTACCTTGGTAACAAATTATTTTAATACATCTCAAGCCATAAAATATTTAAAAAGCAAATTGATTTTTACTTGTTATTTCTTCAAACTTGACTACTTAAGCTGAAAAACACATTAGGCTAACTTTCAAATTCAAGTTTTCGAACTGTAAATTTGGAAGATATTTCAGTTCTTTGAGACATTACCCTCTTTCAGATCTCTTTTAAGTTTCACACATCACACCCTTTGGTGTGCACTCTGTGTTCTATATATAATCACTGTTAAGAACAGAGAAGATTGATACCATGTAGGACAAAATGTTGTTAATAGAGAACGGTATGAGTAGTGAGGAAGTAGGGCAAGCAATATTGCAGTAAAGCAGAGCATTTACCCAGTGGTATTCCTCATGCTCCATTTTGCTTGACTTCTTAGTACAACATACTTTCTTTAGTAAGGAAAAGCTAAGATAATTCAGCTTTAAATATAAAAGATAGAGAAAATATACAGTTCTCATTTCTGTATACTGTACTTTCCAAAATAAGATAAAAAGGCCATGTACTATTTTTAATTTCTGTAATACATTAAGTTGCGTTCGTTACCGGGTAGCAGCACATCTTCTGAATGAGTTAAGATACCAGTAGAAAATGAGCAGTCTCCTGCTGACCTACTTGGAAGTGTTTGAGTCACTTGTGAACCTAGGAATACAAAAAAGCTATCAGATATTGCAAGCATTTTTTTCTAGGAAACTCAGCAGCACATTTTTCTGAAACTAAAGAATAATGTCAAACTATTTAGAAATTATTACTGATATTTCTAAGGCCTGTTGAGACATTTCACTGAAGAATCTGTGAAATCTTGCAATTGGCAGTCATGTCTTGATATAGCAGAAATGCTTTTAAAGTTTGTAGGTTTACCTTAAAATTTGGAGAGAAAATAAATACAAGCCTCACTAAAATAAACTGAAATTTAATTTTTCATCCATGTATTACTGTTTCTTTACTTTCACAACTATTCTTGAAATTTGAAATTGACAGTCTAGCTGACATGCATGCCTTAAAACTTCAAATATTACAGATTCTGCCCCACCAAAAGATGTTCCACATTCAACATTTTCTGTAGTAACTGGCAAAACCTAATGACTTAGACATTAATATTTTCTCAGTAAGGTAATGCAAGCACTAAAAAAAATCTGAAAGCTACAATCTAGATTTAATTCATTAGAATATGCATTTTAAAATCAACTAGATTTATTTAATTAGGTTATTCAAATTTGTTTCTTTCTTAAGTCTTGTTCTTCAGTAACTGGGCAAATATCTCATCAGTTTTGGGCTCCTTTTTAAACTGTTGATGTGGGAGTAATAACATTACAATCTTTGTCATGTGTAGCATGCACATTAAAATTTAACAGGAAATAAGATTAGAGTCTCACTGTAAAGTTTAATCAAGAGGTGATAATATCAATTTACATGGCTAGAAAGTCTAGCTAAACATTAGTCCTCTTAAGCAGTCTAGAAATCAAAAAATTATTTTGCAGCCACTGTGTCCCAGACATGAAATCAAGATATGAAAAAAGTTCTAAGGGTGAGAGGATGAAAAATGCATGAAAAGGATAACAATAAAACCAGCAGCCATTTGTGCACGTTCATAAGTAAGTAAAATTCAACTTCTTACCAGTAGGAGAAAGATTCTCTCTTTTTTCTTTCATAGCCTTTATTCCTCTTTCCATTGTATTGCATTGATCTTTTATCTTATTAACAGGGCTGTATATAAGTGAACCATTGTCTTCAAATAATAAAACGGGTACATCTGTTTCTACACAAATAAATTGAATTTATATATTAATACTTAAATGCTGTAACAGCTTGAGATGAAATTTCTTTTTTTTTCAAAAAACTTTGCAAAAAGAAATAGTTTTCTTAGATTTAAGATCATTAGATAAGCCTTAACACAACAGAACTGAACTCTGTAAAAAAATCACATCAACTTCATTTCTCATGGCATAATGCAAAAAACTCAAAAAAACCCCCATCAACAAACACGAAAACCCCATCAAGTGCTTTAAAAAAACTTCAGAGATTTGAATCTTAGTAAAAAATAGTTCTTACCAGCAGTAACTGCTGTCTTTTGTAGAGCTAATTCTTTAGCGATTTGGTTCAGTCTTCTCTGAAGCTTTCTATTATTTTCTGGAGTTTTGTCAACATAGTCTTTTGGCTGCATACATTTATGCTACAAGACAGACAAAACTCTTAATTATATGTATAAAACTGCCAAAATAATAACACCTCCTATTTTGCCTATCACTTATTCACAGTATTTATTATTGGCATTTAGGCTACTTATCACCTCCTTAAGAGTCAAAGGTAATTGTAGAAATTAGTATTTTGCAAAGTAAACTTTAATATTAAATAAGAAAGAACCTAACAAATATTTTTTTTGCTTGCAGCAAAATTAAAGATTTAAAGGTAGGTTTTTTAAATACTAGTATTCGTTGCAACTCTGTAAAACATAGAACATAACTACTATGTGGCTTTTTGATTAGTCATCATTATATAATTTGAATTTAAATCTTAATTATTTTAATCACCAATACAAAAACTTGATTTGTAGTATACTTTCTTCAGATAAGACGTGATCACAGCAATAGACTATCTTTAAACTCTTACTCAGATGGACAGGTAGTTTACAGAATGTTCTGAAAATAGTTCAAACGCTTGAGGTCAAAAAGTCAAGTTCAAACTTTAAAGTCTTATATTCTAGGCCCATTTAAAAAAATCCCAGACTTACTTTTTTGATTGGCAGTAGAAATCCTTCATTAGTATCTACTGCAGGAAATAGGCATTCATCAACATGGACTCCAGTTTCTCGACACCTGTGCAGTAAAAATTAGAGAAAGTTCGGTGAGTTTTTATTCTCTTGGTTTTGCTTGAAGAATGAGAACCTTTATTGCAAGAGTTGTCTGAGCCCTGCAATAATGAAACACCAACCCTGCCTAAGTGTGTGACTTTAAATAATGTTACCTCATCCCCCACCCCCCCCCCCCCCCATTTTATCTATTTCACGCCAAATATGTGATCCAAATTTTTGTGCCAATGATGCCCTCCAAATTGCTCTTCTGGAAGGCCAAGATTCTCACTCATTATTTTCCACACTTTTCCAAGCTGCTGGACTGTGCTCACAGCAGCCACTCATGTGGCTCTGGTGACATCTAGCGATGGAACAGCTATGGTCTCATCCTTACTCGGGTTGGAATGAACAAACCACTGCAGGTATTTGTCAAACTCATTGAATTTAGGAGCATCAAAGAGAGAGATTCACCCCAAAATTATTAGATTTTGAATAATAATCAGCATAGATGTAGACTACATGAAAAGTTACGTTAATTTAGAGATTTCGTTGATTCAGAGAAGTTAAACAGAAGAAAATTTTAGCATTAAATCTATGAATATTTTACTTTCCAGTAATCATTTACTGAATGTAAATGATTTATACAATTTATTTGTAGAATGAATTATCCTGCTAAGAAAACACAGGTAGAGCTTCACAATCACACATTTGATATGGAAATATTAAGTGTTCCTTATTTGGGCTATTCCATTTTATATGGGGTTCCTTTTGTTCCTGGGTTTTGATTTTTTTAGCCTGCTCATGGAAGTATTTGTTGAAGAAGCAGTAAAAACCATTTTCTCAGTGATCCCAAAGCTGTCACTCATTTTGCATTACACTTTAAATTTTTTTACATGACAGCAAGTCCAGGACTTTTGTTTGCTATTTTTAAAGTTTCACATATCTATCCTTCTTAGAAAACAAACAAACAAACAAACAAACAAACAAACAAACAAACAAACAAACAAAAACCCACCCCCCCCCAAAAAACCCTAAAAGCAAACAATTGTTTCAAAATTTAAAACAACTTTACTCTGCAGTTATAAATTTTTCTGATTTTCAATTTTCATCTTAAAGAGTTGTCTTCTCAAATTACTTCCTAAACTGTAATGTGCATACAATTTAGGCTCAAATAGATGCCCATGCTACAGAGCAGAAGCTTCCAATAAAAGTTTGAGGCAAATTATTGGAGCAAGCACTAGAAATCCAGTAATTCAACAAGGGAATGATCACTAAATACTGCACAAACCCTTCAAATGTTTCAGGCTTTTATGGCGAAATCTAAGTATTACAGCACTTTTCAGCTCATAGGGCATGTCCCTCTGAGAGGTTCAAGCACTGCTCAGGGAAGGCAACACTGGGGTTCATGTCCAACAGGCTGGAAGTAGGGGTTCACTAGGAGTTAAATGTGAGAGTATTTTCCACAAAGCAGAAGAATCAGGAAATGCCGGATAATTGTATATTACTTGTTTCCTTGTCTGGTATTTTCAGAGCTCAAACATCAAGAAGTAGCATCCAGATTAAATACCATATACTGCAGCATCCTGCAGCATCCTCCAATATCATCCCAAGTGCATGTAAGAACATAAAATCAAAGCCAAACATTCCCAGTTCACTCTGTTCCACAGATTTCTGGTTGTCAGATGGTTAGATGCAACTGTATTTAGGTTCTGATAAAATTAATTATTTAATTGCTTCAGCAATTTTTTAAACCTATGTAAATCTTTACTCCCAATGTTCTGCAACAAGGAGTTCTACAGCCTAACCCTGTGTTAGTAAAACCCATCATTTACTTTTTTCTCTGAATCTGCTCAGGTGAACTGATGTAATGCTTTCCAATTTTTCTACTAGAAAGGAAAATACACATTCCTTTCCCATTCAGCCTCTCTATATAAACCTTTGTATTCACAGTAGACTCCCTCCTCCACTCATTTTCCAGACTGAAGCATTCTTGACTCTTCAATCACATCTTGTAAGAAAACTATTTTATAACTTCAGTCAAGCTCATTGCCATCCTCTGGCAACATTCCAAATATAACTATGATAAAATGCTGTCATTCCAGTATATGAAGTTTTATGTTCTATTTAATTTGATTTTTGACTACTGCTGAGGTAACAGTGCTATGAAAATGTCTACTGCATGTACCAAAATGCAATGATCATCTTTCTGATATGCTAAAGAGGACTGCCTCAAACAGCCTTCTTGACACCAGCAAGAATTTTATTCCCTTCAGTCTTAGCTTCTTAACAGAACTTCTTCCATTTTAATTAGACTTCTTTTTAAATGTAAGCATTGTCAGAGAATTTCTTGGGCTTGGTGTTCCAGTATGAACACTTGTACTGAAGACATACTTACAAAAAGGTTCTCTGACATAGTTTGGACAGCAATCCACAAACCAATTAAGACCAAGCAATAACTAACATACTTGGTTTTGTACTGCACTTCCACAGGAGTTACCAACCCCCAGTCTACACCAGAAATTGGCATGTACTATTACCTTGCTGAGATAACATTTCAGAACTTTTCTGATCATTTTGAGAATGTTCCACTTGTTACTGAATGAAGCAGCTGGTTAATCAAGTCATCTTTTTTAGCAGTGCTAAAACTTCAACTCATAGGAACTCTGCATGATTTGATTACACAGTTATAGGGTTCAAACTAAGCTTCCATTCACACAAGACCACAATTATATGGGTGCATATTATTCAGTCCTTCCAATGTACATTGTTTCAGGGCTCAATAGACTGTCTTCTGCCTTACTAGACATGTAATATAGTCAGGCACTCTGGTTCCCTCATTACAAAACCCAAAAATTAGTATGTATACTAGCACGGACTCATTTTAATTTTCTTCTGCCTGTGCCTTATTTGAATAACCTCACGACCAGTAAGAATATTCATAACTATCTCTTATACAAGCTTTGCCCAAGAATATGATATTCTCATTAATTCTCCTTACAGTATACACCAATCTAACCTGCATGTTCTTCTGCACTTTTCAGCATTTACTTTAAACTAAAGGGCAGAAGAAAAGGATTACAGAGAAGCTCAATCATAATTCACAGCTTGGGTCCTCCTCTGCAATAAAATACATCTATTTTAGATGATTCTCCCAGATCCAACAAACTTCATCTTCTAAGACATGTACCAAGACCTTGCTTTGGTCAGAAAATGATACTAGAAAAACTTAAAAAATACCAGGAAGATGCTAGCCTTCTCTTTCCTACCAAACAGCCTAAGTTTTTCCTCTAGAAAACTCTTTTCTCCTGTCTTTTCCTTTGTTGCTGTTATCCAGCAAAAGCTCAAGTTTCTTGAGGCTTTTACACCCGGATTTCAAAGCTCCATGCTGTCCCCTACAGTTGTCCAGTTGTTTCTATGCCTCAGCTTTCTACAGTTTTCATCCACCCAATGCCTTCCAGCAGTGCAGAGGAGACTCTTGCAGTGGAACTGCTATCACAGAAAGAGTATTTCTGTATGACATGTCCTAGGCTCTCCCCTGTAAGGCACTCTCATTTTCCCATTACTGATGGTACTTACTTGGACTTTTCTGAGATACTTTTTAATACAGCACATCCAAATCTTCAATAGTTCATAGTTCATGTAACTAAGACTTCAAATTCTGTATTTATACACTTAGCCACCCGAAGAGCATATTTAATTTTACAACAGTATTGAAATCATCATCACACATTCAAATAGCACCAGGTCCTTGAAAGATATACTCATATAAATAAAATTTTGCATTGCCCTCATTTTTGAGAACTTAAGGTATTTCTTCTTTGGTGTCAAAGCCGGCTGGGTTGTGTGGCTGTAACTTCTATAGCTTGCATCACAAGTTTTCGGGGGCCATTTAGGTGCCTGTAGGCTTCACATTTGCCCTCCCTCCTTGTGCCCCACTTAAAAAAAAAAAGAGCCCAAAATGTTTCTACTTAGACCACAACCTCTCCATGCATATGACAATTAGTATAGGTAAGGCCCTCTTCACTTGATTTACATTCTAATTTCCATCATCACATTGATTTATCAATTGGAGTGTTTAACTCATGCATTCATAAACTGTGTTTTTATCCTTCATCTGAAATCTCACTTAGGTCCTACAAACACTTTGTAAATTCAGAGAAGCTGAATGGACTAGCAAATTCTAAAGGACTGGTTGCAGAGATGAAATTTTTCTTTAATTTTTTCTTTTAAATAAATTTAACTTTTTCCATATGGTAGAAGAGAATCTTCAGGCAGTTTTGTTCTGAACTTGCCAAGTATCTTAAAAACCAGAATACATATGGATCATTTTCTTTCTTGCTAAAATATATTCTGTTTACAGGATTTAAGTACAGAAACGGTGCAATGCCCTTGATGAACTGTGCTTTTACATATGAAAATGGAAGAACTGTATTCAATGTAAGTATGGCCTTCACTGTCTATACATGCCATCTGAGAGCACAGGAGTGTAACACCGTTAACAAATATACTACGAAACCACTTCACTACATTAATTTGTAAAGAGTTAATATTTTACCTTTTCGCGCAAGTCATGATTCACAATAGGAATAATGTCATAGAAAAGTTATCATTTACTCACAGATTTATCCCTATTTCAAGTATGTTAATAAAATCGTTTCTGTATTTAAGTTTTTCAATAAAAAAATACTAGAACATATTATCTCTGAAATAGGCCACATTCATTACAGCCACAAGTACTCACATTTCCACCCAGAGTACAGAAACTATTTTTACACTCATCTCCTGTGCTTTCTTCCACGTAGTCAAACGTCCGTCTTTGAAGACCACATGGGTCACGTGCTTGTTCAAAGTTTTTGAAACCTGCAGAAATACACAGAAAGCTCATATTTAAGTCTGATAATTGGAAAAATGCTAATGAAACCAGCTAGTGTAGTCCATTTTTAGTGCATAAACCATCAGCGTAAAAATTTGTTCTAAAAATTATGTCAAGGACCCTTTTTGATCTTTCCCAACTTCACAAGAAACCTCAAGCAAACTCCAATAGCGAAAGGGACGGAATAGCCCGGTGTTTTCAATCTTCTCTAGGTTACAATTTTCAGCTCCCTACTTTAGATGTATCACTAATTTTGCAACATTTTTATTTATGTAGTGCAACATAATTTCTTATGCAACAGACAGGACAAAAAGCAGACGCCGCTACTCAAAGAAATAACAAAACATCTTTTAGGCAAAAGAACCCAGGCTTAAAGAGTACAACTAGCTTCACTTTTTAAACTAATTTTTGTCAATTAAAATAACATTTAGTTTTGTGGGAAAGGCTGAAGGTACTACAAAATTAAAGCCAGCACAGATGATCAAATTTTCAGTTATTAGCCTCCACTGGCAAGCAATGTTTTCAGTTCTAGATACTCCTTTTTTCACAAAGCTTCCTTTGCGGAGACTAAGCACCGTACACAGAACTGCTTGATCAGTTGTGATTGTTGATGTGGTGACATCAATAAAACGAATATTTTACTGCAGCAATGGAAATAGCCTGGCCAATGGAAATAGTTCTGTTGTGCCCTCAGTTGCATCACTGTATTTTGCTTACAGCATGCTGGGTCTGTATTTAACTTCAAGAAAACTATTTAGCTTTTCCAAATATTGGTGGTGGCAAGCTGATTACGACTTCTTAGAAGACAAAACCGCATGATATTTAAATATCTAGGTATAAAATGATCCATTAGTCTGTTATAGAATAAGTTATTACTCCAGATGCAATTGCTTAATCACTTTTGCCAGTATTTGGTTCACAGCCCATGTCCTAAGGATGCTTGATATAGCTTTGCCTCCATATTATGGAGAAGCACCACCTTACACCTCCCTTTCACCTTTCCCACCTCCTCTCTTTACCCTGTACATCTTCTGCTGCTCAGCTGAACTTTGAGATCTCTGAATCAACAATCTAGCAAAAAACTAATTTAGAATTTAATTTCCTGACACAGTGAACTAAGTCAGCTCAGTACCATGTGCTCAGCCAATAGAAGGGAAGTTCTGAGACAGGGAAGGGGTATGACCATCTCTATTCAGTCAAAGAGATATGCTAGATTAGCTCATCTGTATCATCTGCCTGCAACATATTTGATTATTTTGAGTATTTTGAAAATTTTTGAAGCCTTATGCTTCTGCCATATTTTCTGTGAGAAAAAGTCTTACATCATCAGAATAGAATTACACAAGACTTATACTACAGCATGGAAATATTTCTAGTTCTTTTCACTCGAGTTATTTATTGAGAGTAGTGTTTGCTTTAACAACAAAGCCAGTGATCCTAACTGTTCTGTCACACTCCCTCAGCTTACTTCACACAGAAAGAGAGGATTTGGGGAGAGAGAGCAGCAAGATTTCCTAAATTACAGTAAGAGATATCTACACATACCCATTTTAAAGTGCACTGGGAGTCCACACATGTATTTTTTAAAGCATGATGTGAACTGTAAGGATATCTCCACTTACTAGCAATAACGTGCAAGAAGGGAAGATGCCACTTTGACTTCGTTCTCTGGTTGAAATGGTACAGATGGCAATTAAACATCTTTTGCACCTACAAGTCAACTATATCTGGTACAGAAGGAAATCATTGAGACATATACTGAAACTCTTAAGATGTATTTTTACTAGCACTTTCTGGAATTGATCCAAATTTGTGGGTGAGTGAATGGAAGAATAAAATGACATGGTACTTGGGTTGGAAAACATTTTATTAACAACAGAGCAGCTGCTTACAAGTTGACAGAAACAAAAAAATATAAGGTACATACTTGTAAACCAGTACAGGTTGGGCTTGCCACAGACTGTGGGCAAAGTCTTGAAAACCTGTATTGGTTTACAAGTCAAAAAGCCCAACACCTCCCAAGAAGAGCATGCTATCGCATTAATATGCAAAGAGGTCTGTAGATGTAGAAAGGCTTTAAATGCTTTTCCCATCTGTCAGTAGCAAGAATTTTACAGCACATTGGTCTATTCTCAGGTCTCTGATTTCCTCCCTTCTTGCCCTTTAAAAACTCATACTGAAAAGAAATACATGTGACAAGCAGAACAAGCAAGCTAATTTATAATAAAGATCTTTCCTATTCCATTTATTTCAAAATAGTCTCCTTACTTTTGCTCCCATATCAAGAAGCTGCCGTTCAAAGGTTTTTGAGTAATTTTCTGTTCTGTTAGACGACCAAACTTCTACATAGGCAGAAATACCTGGATCAGAAGAGAGAAAACAACTAATGAAGTATATACCATGATAAAACTGGTAAGCCTGCCTTTCCAATAAAAGTTTCTTTTCTACATATAGCATTCAGTTGCAAACACAGCTTTTAATAAACTGAGTATCAGATTTTAGCAGCAGATTTTTTTAGCATATTTATGTCCCCTAAATTAATTGTAATGGAAATAACAGAAGTCTGACACTAGTTAACTTTTCATTTCATCTATTTAAAACACACTACCAGCTTAACAAGAAATATGTTATCGTTACATGACTGCTCAGTCTTACCATTATTTAATCACTTTTAATCGTCAGATTAATTAAAAATTTGAAAATCAATTGATACAACACAACTTACAGAACAAAATTACGTCACCACAATAAAACGTTTCCTTGCCCAAACTCACAGAAAATTTTGCAGAAATATTACTTAATAGTTTCCAATTTACTTCAATTTTCACTTTATTTGTATTGAAATATTTATATTGAAATTGAAAATTAAGTACATATAACAGGAGCAAATAAAATTTCATATCAGTTGCCTTATGCAACTTCAGATATTCAGATTTAATTAGCTTGCTTCATTAAGCAGATTAATAAATTCTTCAAGGAATCAAGTCAGTCTTGGTTGAGAATATCTTCAAACAACCAATCAAAGACAGAAGTACTGACAAGGAGGGATAAACAAATAAAACTCATAACAATCTCTTCATTAATTTTATATAAGACAGGCACTAAAGTGACCTACATTTCCACTGGCCATGCCGCTTTTCCATTTTGAATGACAAATCAGGAAAATTCCAAACACTGGAGAAATGGCAGTTCACCAAAAACAACTTCATGCAAAGGCCAGACAACTCTAAGAACTCATGAATAAAACTGAGTTTCATTTTAAAAGGGTCATCCTTAGCAAATACTGCTTAATTATCTTAAGCGATTATTTATTATGTAGTCACATCTGTCTTCCTTCTAAATGAAAACCAGAATAATGCTCCAATTATTCATAACACTAGAAATACTTTTATAAAGATTATAGTATTTTTACAATCACTAGAAATATTTTTGACATATAAGAAATATGAAACAAAGCACTTCCTCATGCAAAGCACCGGGAAAAATCTTATCAATTCTGCGACTTCAGATATAAATGGGAATTTAAGACAAGTCCACTTCAGTGTGCTTATAACTGTGTTCATTCTACTACTACACTGGGGCAGATTCTGGCAGAGTTGCTTTTTTCCTTGATAGTTCAATTATGAAAAACAATGCACTTGCAATTTGAAAAGATAGTATTTTACATCAAATATTTTAGAACTCACATAGCTAAAATTGTCCTAGAAAAAGATCGGGACATCATTTCAGTAAAGGTCTAACTAGGAACTTAAAAGGATACTACTTCAAAACTCCATGCACTTGCACTAGGTTCAAAGGTGTATTTCAAAATTAGTCAATTTCAGCTAATCAAATAGATTCCAGCAAAAGGCAAAGCTTTTTGCAGTTTTTGTACAGTTAATGGAAAGGAAAACAAGGAAGTGCTTGACGCTTTTTTGAACTTTTGAACTAGAAGCGCTCTGAGACCGGTTCTTGTAAACGACGGCCTTAGAAGTTCTCAGAGAAGGCGGTGATCGCAGAGGAAAACGGCCATAAGAGGGCAACTTGGCGAGGCAGAAATGTTGAGATGCAGAAGAAAGCCACGAGTGACCGGGGTAGGAAGAGCAGAGGGGCCGCGGGGCAGTGTCCCAGCGGGAGGCCCCTAAAGCAGCGCACAAGCGGAGGGAGGCGTCCGGCCCTGCCCGCCCCGGCGGCCGCGCAGCGGGGCCGGGCCCGCGCCCGGGCGTAGCGCGCTTCCACCCGGGCCGACCAGGCCTCGCCGCTGCGACCCGGCGGGTTCGCGGCGAGTCAGAGCAGCCCGCGGGCGAGTCCTGACCATACCGCCAGCGGGGGCCGGGCCCCCACAGCGGCCCGTCACCCGCCCTGCCGGGAAGCGCCGGGGCAAGGGCCGTAAGGAGAGACAGGGGGCAGCGGCAACGCGGAGCCCGTGCCATCCCCGCGGCTCCTCTCGGCCGCGCCGGGAGAAGCCACTGCAGGGCGGCCGAGCCGGTACCTTTCAGGACGGGCTCCATTGGCGGCACAGCCCGGCAGCTCGCAGCGCCCGCCACGGTTCAAACCCGGCCCCGCGCATTGCCCCGCCGCGCCTGCGCGTGAGAGCGGGCGCGGCCCGGCCAGGGCAGTGCTGCTGCGGGGCGCCGAGCGGCTGTGGCGTCCCACCGCCCTGGTCGGAAATGGGGTGTGCTCGGCCCAGCTCCGGCCCTTTCCGACACCGGGGAAGGCTTGGAACAGCCGAATACAGCTGGAAACAGTGTAACAGGATTAATTAGGTTGGAAAATACTTCTGAGATCGTTGAGTCCAGCTGCGACCCAACACCACTTTGTTAACTAGACCATGGTCACATCCAGTCTTTCCGTAAACATCTCCAAGGACAGTGACTCCACCACTAGTCTGGGCAGCTCGTTCCAGTATCTAATCACCCTTTCCCTTAAAAAGTTCTTCCTAATATCCAGTCTAAACCGCCCCTGGCACAGCTTAAGACTATGTCCTCTCATCCTGTCACTAGCTCCTGGGACAAGAGACCGACCCTTAGGTGGCTACAACCTCCTTTCAGGCACTTGTAGAGAGCAGTAAGATTCCTCCTGAGCCTTCTCCAGGGTAAACACTCCAGCTCCCTCAGCTGCTCCTCACAGGACTTGTGCTCCAGACCCTTCCCCAGCTCTGCTGTCCTTCTATGGACCTGCTCCAGCTCCTCGATGTCCTTTCTGAGTTTGAGGGGCCCAGAACTGGACACAGCACTCGAGGTGTGGCCTCAGCAGTGCTGAGTACAGGGGGACAATCACTGGTTCTGGTCCTGCTGGCCACACTATTGCTGATAGAGGCCAGGATGCCACGAAGTTTTGGCAAAGCCAAACACCGAGTCAATTTTCTGTCACTGTTTGCCATAAGGAGTCCTAAAGAGGCATTCCTGAAGAATTCTAGTTTGTAGGAAAGTCCAGCATCAGAAAACTGGTGGTCTCTGAACTCTCTAGTGGCCCACACTGCAGTGTCTGAAGTGAGAAAACAAATAACAGAAAAAGGCAGTGAAATAGGGGTTAGCTAAGAGACTGTGAGACAGTGCTTACCAAAGCATGTAAAACTGCTTGAGAGCAACTATGCTATTAATTATAGTTAGGGAACCCTAACAGGAGCTGGCTTTGGTGTTCAAAGGCTGGAGTGTAGCAAATGTGATACCAGAGGGAAGTTAGAGAAAAACTCATGATTTCCCCAGGGAAAAATTATAAAATGCATAATAAAATAAGGGAATTAGTGAGTGTAAGGAGATTTATTGTGAGAAAGAAGAAGCACATCGAGGAAAATGATGCTGCACAGCTTTATTATGCAACTCACAGAGCTCAGGAGTTACTATATGGTTGTACAAATTGGTGCTGTTCCAAAATCTTCAAAATGTAATACCAATTTCATAATCTCAAAAATAATATAACTGACATGGAGAAACAACAGAGATGCAACACGAAGATACTAAGTGATTTGCATATGAGAGATAGCTATTCAAACAAGGACTTGTCAGCTTGGAAAAAAAAAAAAAGAGGTGGAAGAGGGAATGTACTAGAGGTCCTTAAAATCATGAGTGTATGCAGGAGGTGAACATGGAGCTGTGCATTCCCAACAACAGCTAGTGAGCACCAAAAGAGATTACCAGATGGGTCTTCTCAGAAGACACATTTCCACATTGTGCCACATGAGGCTGTGGAAGTGTTCAGAGAGCTGGCAAACCACATGGTTTCTGAAGCAAATCCAGCAAATTAGTAAAAAATATTTTAAGACTATCAAAAATGTACAAAACCACCTTTCCCTTAGTAAAGCCCTGAATTGTATATTGCTGGACTATGAGAAGGTACAGGGAACACTTCGGCATCTTCTTTTCTTTTGTTCTTTTTTAGTTATTTTCACTGGAGAGACAATGCTGACCTTTTTCGGTTTTTAGGTTTTGGTGTGGCCCATTATGCCCATTCTTACTTTCATGGAAAGACTGAGATCTTTACTCATAGGAGTCTATTGAGCAGATGGCTATACTAATGCTTTTTAGATATGTTAATCTAGTATGTAATATTTTGACATTGATCCAGTTTGTTTCATCTCCAGGGCAATGGTATGGCACTAGATCTGTGGCAAGTTTTGAGCATAAGTTCTTGGGTGCTTCCTCTTTTGAATGTGTGACAGACTTCCTTTCGCTTATGTATTCACTATGCGTATAAAGTAACCAGCCAATCTACATATATGTGTGCTTGTTTTTTATCTACATAGCCTTTGTACTTCTGTCAGGATGTTACACAGTTCTTTGCTAGGCAATAATTAAGTATTTTTAGGTTCTCAACTGTGTCTCAAGGAAAAGGGAGTCTTGTCTAATGCAGTGTCTATGAACATTGATCTGAAGGCAAGTCCAGGAGTGGAGATAGGGGAGATTTAAATGTACATTGAAAACTCTCAGTAAAAAAACCCCACAGGCTGTGTTTGAGCCTGAAAGGTAGTAGCAGGTTTTATAGATGCTAAAGCAAATATGCTGAAATGTGTAATTATACCTGCATGCTTCAATTCTATACTGGTATGAGGCTTTTTCTTGGCCCTAAAATGGGGTTCCTCACCCTTCCTCCAGTCTAGCTCAGGAGTTAGGGTCAAGATTCCCTGGGCCCTTGCCTCATGGACGTAAATAAGATATCAAAAGAGGCTCCTTCCCCTGATGAAGTTACAGGGTTTATTTCTAGTGGGTAGCGAGGGAAAGAGGGAGGGGGAGAAGAAGAGGGAAAAAGAGAGAGAGGTCAGGGGATACAGACCTTTTCTAGGGTCTAGAAAGGGGGGCGGGGAGAAATTGGATCCCAGCCAGCCCTGTATGGCCAGGAGGGGAGAGGGACCAAGCTACAGGGCACAGCAGGGGTCACAGAATGTACCATTTACAATGTATCTAGGAAACGTAACACTGGTACAGACAACAAAAAGTGGTAATTGCAAGAAGATAGAATCCATTATCAGACCAGACTAGGACTACTCATGAGAACACTAGGTTTTGTGCAGAGGCTCAGAGGCCTGCCACTCAGGCTAGAACACTTTTATTTTAGAAGGGCAAGAAGCAAGCAAGGAGAAACACATCTCTTGGCTGGGGTGAGAAGTGCCTCCCTCCCATAGGCCTTTGCAGGCACATGTTAATCCCTTAAGTTTTATTGGTTAGTACAGTTGATGTCACCCCTGTTCACCTCGGTTTAGCCTCTGTTTATTTACCATATATGTACCTTCCCAAGAATGTTCTTCCCTCTCCTGATCCTCATTGGTCCTGGTTAGCTGCAGTGCTCCATCCCTGTCACCAATTGATTCTCCCAGTTGGTTATCCCTCCTCTGCACCACTTTCACCCACTCCCATTGGCCTTTGACCCTCAGATCCTCCTGCCCTTGTCCCATATTTAACCCTGTGCCCTCAACCCCATCTCATCTTTGTCCCTGGACCTTCTTTGAGATCCCATAAACCTTCCCTCAGATTTTCATACAAAGAGCTGTCCTTCATCTTCTTCATCAGCCAGTTTTCTTTTAAGCAAGTGTGCTCTGGGCTCCAAAAGCACTGGTCACTCACAGAGGAACCCAGTGAAGCACACTGCTTCAGTTTGAGTTCCTACCTCTTTTATCACAGAAATAAATACACAGAATACTGAAACTGTCCCACAGATTTACAGTTTTGTTTTAAACAGTTGGAGTTTTGACCTCAGAGTTACTTTAAGATTTACAAGAACTTAATTCTCAGATGGTGACTAAACTTCAGAATTCCACTGGTAGTTCATAGTTGTCTGTTCTTGTGCCAGTATTGTCTTGCTGTCAGGTACTCAGCATTTATCATGCCCTAGTACTTACAGAATGCAGCACTTTATTTTTACAGCTGCTATTTTGCCAGTTTGAATACATCAGGGTGTTTTAGCCTTCATGCCACAATGAACTTCTGAAAATGACAGTGAATGGGGCTTATTTACATTAAGTAAACATAACGTAAAGGCCCTCTAAATACACTTGTTATTTGGCTTGATAATATGTAATGTCATAGTGCCTATAAAGCTAGGAATATAGCATTAACTATTAGATTGATATGATTTCTCTACAGTCAGTACTTGCTAGGATATACACGTAACTGAATGCTGCACTTGGAAGAAAGAGTTTTACAGGTTAATTATATTGAGACAGGAATGAACTGTGAAAGTTACATTTCAGTTGACCTCCTAATCAAAAAGAACTAAGAGTTCCAAAAAAGTAAAAGCCCTATAAACACCTAAATGTTTCCTAGCCATCCAAGAAATCTTGGGGAGAAAAAAAAATCCATCAATGCAATAATTTTCCAGATTTAGGTAAAATACAAAAAAGACCTGTATTCTCAAGTGTTGCTTTGGTAATTCAAAAGATTCCTTCTCAGCCAGCCCTTGATTTATTGATACAAATTGGATGTGAACTTTGGATGATATTTTGTAAGGCTATATCACAGAGACAAGTCCTCAGACATAGAATAAAGATGGTGGGCTACTCTCTGGGACTTGACGTTAAGTATATGAAGGATTCCTAGAACAAATAAGGAGGTTTGCTATTATTAAGTAAAGTCTGATCTTGTATATTGATTATTGGATAGTCTTTGTTTATTTGGTTGGGTGGATTTATGAGCCTATTTCCAGTTTGTGCAAACAACAGCTTTAACCTTTTGTATTTATTTTTTTTAATCTTAAATTTCCAAGTGTGAGTTATGTCCCAGAAAAACAGTTGGTTCTTCTAAAGTGGTAAATCCCAGTCAATCAGTTCGCGTCTTTAAGACCTGAGCACTTGTATAAGAACTGGAGTTATTATCTCTACAATGCTACTTGACCATTACAGATGCAGAAGTGGGAAGAAGTGCTTGGAGCAGGTACAAACTTGGCATGCTGTCTTCATGGAGGAAGCTCCCGAAATCAGCTCTGGCTGTCCACATCAACCATCATTGTCTCCTCTTACAAGGTAGACTTCTTGTTTTCTGAGTAAGCCTAACAGTTTTTGTCTATGCCTGTTTCAGTTTGAATGTTGATTTTTAAAGTAGCATACAAAACTGTGCAGTGTTTTGGTGGTCAT